GCCGTATTTTTATTTATACAAAACACAATCTACCCTGATTTGGACAAGCGGGCCCGACGGTCACACGGTACCCAAAGGTACAAAGACTCGAACAACGATGTTTAGCTGAGGAGAACATATCTCTCGCTTGGGTACTAGGTGTTTGTACCCAAAATTCCCGAATCCCGATGATATGAGGAAGAGAAGCCTCTAGTCCTTCCCCGCTGAGGTGGAGCTGACACCTTGAGTGACGTATGTCCCGACTCCTTCCAAATCATGGCGTTTGATATAAACAAAGGCGCGGGGCGAGAAAGATGAAAAAGCGTCTACAATTAGTCTTGTACTATTGAGAGGGCTCAGTGGCTTGATTTGTGATTACCTAATCACTCTACCCTTCAGTCTTGCCTCGATGGTGTCTATCACGTCTCCGACAGGTCCTCTAACTCAGAAATCCGGACCTGAGAGCTCAATGTAAGTTTGTTCAGTAAAGAAGAGAGAAAAGGACTGAGTGACCAAAAATGAGGCGTCGCAGGGTTTCTGGCTTGACGGGCGCCTCCCGGCGCTTGCTGTCCTTCCGGCATCAAAAAGGCAAAATCCCGCCGGGACCCCCTGAAAAAACACCAGACTACCATATCAACACATAGCTTGGTATCAGTGGATATTGTAGTCTGGTTACTCGAGACTAGTCTACAATTACAGCCGGCTCAATATCCCAGCAACTTTTTCGATTTTCCGTGGTCATAATTTCTGTTTAGGTCCAAACAATATCTCACCGTCCAAAATGAATACAATTGTCGTCGGCTATCATGTCGAGGCTCCAGCTTTGAGCTTCGAGAGCGGGAAGGGTACCAAATCCGCTTAGCTCTTGTTTGCGCCTAAACAAGAATTTTGGACTCGACAAATCGCAAAAGTTGCTACGATTATTGAGCCAGCTGTAATACAACGGTTGTAATAGAATGATAACAGGCCGGAAGAAGGTTCAGAGACCTACGAACGTCTTAAAATACTCACAATAGCCCTACGACAGGCGTTTTCTACGAGATAGCTACCTTATCCTGTGCTCATCAGTCCCCTTCATAAGTGGACTTCTGATTACAATAACGGGATCATTGACCCCAAGAAGCTTCTGCGATGATCAAACCGGAAATCAATTAGTTTCAAAAGGCCAGTCACAGCCTACAATCTGTCAGTGAGGCAGGTGAAAAGTGAAAAAGAAGGGGAAAAGTGCATCAAAAGCGGGGGGCCGCATGAGATTCATTGTCATGTCTCACATCGTGGTAACGAGAGTCCCGTGTACATCACATTAAGGCCGAGACCGGTATCGACATTTAGACCAAAAGCGCTGAAACAGGCCAACATTGATCTCTTGCGTGGGGAGGGTCATCGGGCGTCATAGGTGCATGTAGGCGAGGAATAGTAAGTGGTAAAAGTTGTTTTCTAGTCCGATGTATGAGGAACCGGGGTGGGTAGGTCACAGGTGGGACTTGTGGCCGTGATCGCTGTTATGAGATCATCACAGTCAGATGTGCGTTGGCTCAGTGGCCGGGCTCGTGAAGGAACACTCAGATTGCCTTCGTAATCATCGCCAATTTGGACATGATCCACCTATGTTCTTCAGAGTAAGCGAGAGTTTCGAGCTTCCGCTTGAGGTATCACAGAGATGGAAGTACTGTGGGAATGCAGGGTTTTGTAGTAGCAAGCGTACACGCGCCCGTAGTCCAACAATGACTCATACCACCATCACCGAATCCAACGACTTCCAGAATCAGCCTCTGAGCCTCCAGCTTCTGCTCTCAGATCGTTCTTTGTATCAGTCAGCAAGTGACTCGAGCCCGAAATCTGTATGTCTCTCATAACTTCGTCTGGACCGGAGAGGAAAAAAAAACTGATGTTTCTGATGGCAAACCCTCTTATCCAGGATCATAGGTGTTGATGAAAGCAGCTCAAGTTCCGAATATCTATTGGATCTTCACATGAAGAAAGAAAGCTCATTCTTTGGCTGCAACCATTACTAGAAAAAAAAATCGTTTGCTCACTGTCTAGAAATGACGAACCGGTACGCACCTGTGGTGGATATTACCATCAAGTCACTTCGAACACCCTTTCCATGAAGACTTCCCCGCACGCACACGTCAGAATCTCGACGGCTCGGACTGTCATGTCGTCGTTACCCATGGCCATTGACTCCAACGGTTACCTGCTTTATGCTCGACGGGATATTCCTTCAATAATAGGATCGCCGGCACACCTATCCGAGAAATAGCCAGACCAGCTCATGGGTTCACTAGAGCCCTTTAATAACGCAAGGAAGCATCCTCGATACGGAAGTCTTTTGGAATACACGGGACGTGCATATGCATTTATTTGGGGTTTCACGAGGGGATAATACGACCGAATGAATGGCTATTAGATACTCAGATAACCGAGGGGCCCGATATCAAAGATAGGTACGAAGCCTTTGAAGCTATCACCAATTGGTTCGTTTCTTACCCATCTTCCACCTGTAGAACCCACCAAGGGAGCTCCTCAAAGCACAACGAAGAACGAGGAAACCTCCAATACAATTCGCGAAGACCTTACGTGGTCATCCGAAAGCTTTAAGCAGCTTGGACTTACGAGCCAAGTTCACGGCGCTGCTCGGGCAATCTCGGAGAGAGTGAGGCATCTTCAACGAGATACTACGCAAAATCGAAGGTATGTGATCCTACCCCTCATTCCTCCTCGCTGCTGCGATGTCTCACCGTTCACCCCTATCTTGGCACGAAGCTTTTGTCCTCACCACTTCCGTTCGAAAAGGATCTTCGTCCCGTTCAAGTCCAGCAACAAGGATTAGAGTGTTCTCCGTTCCACCATCTGATTCATTTGCTCGAACATTCGTATTCACGCGACAGGAGCACTGTTTCAATTGACGTCGTACGCAAGTTTTACCGTTCATCGTTTCCTCATCAGAAACGGGGGCAGAAGTTTTAGTGACACGCTTGCGTAGTCCTTGCGGCGATTGGTACTCCACTCCCTGAACTATCATCATGTTTTTTTTGTAATGGAATAATTCGTATCCACGATGCTGGTCATTCCGTTTCGGGAGAACCCTCCCTGGCTCCGGCTTTTGAGGGGGAAATTATTCGAGACCCGCCGAGAGGAAAGGTCGTCGGAACCATCGATACAAAGGTACGGGTAGGGGGCTGATTGTGTCCCGATAGAACGTTGACGTGCTTGCTCAAGTAAGAGGAACGAAAACGCTTCCCTGAGAAATTTGCTCATGGCATCCTTGCTACTTGAATATGCGTACTAGCGACGGGATCTCTTCTTGAGCGCTGAGCTGCGTAATTCGAGACTGGCTCTCTATACTACGTGCGTGGGCCCTCTCAGACTCTTAGCTGCTACGTCATAGATACTCCTGACTTGGGAAGACCAGCGGTAGAACTGCTGGTTAGGTCGATATCTGTCTATGTTCAACATTCAACATCGATGTTCCCCTCCGAATCGGACTTGAACATGATACGGTTTGACTGAAAGGTCTCTCAAGTCTGAGTCTGACATGTGATTCAACCGCAGTTCAGGTTTCTGCTCGGTAGTACTTACTAACTCCAAATTTAGAGTGGACGTCCTTCCGACCGAATCGTACCACAGGCAGGGTACTAGGAGAAGCGCTCATCAGCTCATCAGCACCTTGGAAATTGGAATCCAAGCATTTGATGGCAGCCAAGAGATGCCGCGCTATGCTTACTTTCGCTCGATATCGAACGCTAAAGCTTGAAGGGGCGATTTCGAGAGGATTAGCCGACGCTAGCCCCTGATCAACAATGAAGTAAGTCGGTGTCAGTTAGAGGAGGGGATATGGCTTCTCCGAATCACGAATATAGATGGGCTGGGGGCGTAAAGAATCGTATATAAACTGTGCTTCAATCTCTGTAAGTTCTCCAGATCACAATCGAGGTCTAATTCTCTTTCTACCCACTCACCGAGCTCCACTACAATGAACTTCATCTTCGCCCTCACTCTCGTGCTTCCAGCTGTTTTCGCCTCTCCTCTCCTTGGAGGCGGCCTCGGAGCTAACATTGGTGTCGGTACTGGTCTCGGTGTCGGTGCTGGCGTTGGTGCTGGCATCGGTGCTGGCGCTGGTGCCGGTCCTGGCGTCAGTGCTAATGTCGGTGTCGGACTTGGTCTTGGGAATGACCACCAGTCTCCAGACGACTGCGACGATCCCACCACGACCGCCACAAATCACTACACTTCTCCAACATGGATAATTCCTAACCCTACCACCATCATCACTTCCACCATACCAACCTGGACCGTACCCACACACACCACGGAAGATTGCGACGAGACGACCACGATAACGGATCACTACACCACCTGGACTCCTACCACTACTTGGACGCCTACCACGACATATTGGACTCCTACTCCTACCACCAGTCCTTGTGATGACGATTATGACCATCCGATGACGACATTGGGCGCCGCTGTTGGTGTTGGTGTTGGCGTCGGCGTTGGCGCTGGTGTTGGTGGAGGAAATGGTGGTGGCGTTGGCGTCGGTGTCAATACTGGCGTCAACGTAGGTGTCGGGGCCGGCGTCGATGTAAATCATGGCGTGAATGCCGGTGCCGGTGCCGGTGTCGGTGTCGGTGTCAACACTGGCGCGAATACAGGTGCAGGACTAGGTGTCGGTGTCAACGCTGGTATGAATGCAGGTACCGGTGTCGGTCTCAAGCTCAATGCTGGTGCCGGTTTGCTCTGAGAGAGTCTTTTACGAAGCCCAATGTAGTCAGGGATCTGGGAGGAGTTGAATGACGTCCGCTATTGAGTGAAGCAGTAGTTACGTTTCAGCTTCCAGAGGACTTTTCTTGTCTGTCGTTTTCTCGTTTCTGTCTCTGCGACCGAATAGTGTATGTACTTGTATATCCGGATATCTTCAGAACCGTGTTGTTGTAAACAAATTGTAAATTTCATGACCTTTGGCTCATCAATGGTTCAGAATGATGGTACAAAAATCTTCTGATCGGTAGCCTTCCTAGCTCTCTCTAGCCAACTTGAACGACCGACCTCGCCATTCAACGTGCTATACTAGTGAAGCGCTCTATCACTGAGCTAAATGGGAATACATTATCTCGGAAGTTTATACATGTCTCGAGCTACACGCCATGGTTTCCCAGCGTACGAAAGTTATAATTTCGCTAGACGGGCTAGGCTTTCCAGTTGGTTCCGATGGCCTAACAGTTTATCCAATTATAACGATTTTCTGTACTTTCTTTAAAGAATACTTGCCCGAGGAAAACACTGACTTCTGGTAGGAGATGCTGACGTGCCTGTCGATCAGAGGGCCTCAAATCCTCTCGCTTGCTCTTATGGATCTGGTCAAGTCTCGACCAAAACTCCGTCCATGGTCCACGATCCACGAGGGGGAATTCATTCTGCTCCCTTCGAAGGTATCTAACCAACATAGCTTCGCCACTCATTTATCCCTTGTATCGATCGCATTATCAGCCGAGCATGAGCACGGGGTAATACTGCTGGGTAGGCGCATAGAACCTTTCGATCGGCAAAGAGGTGTTCTTTTGAGGGTGAGGTGCTAGGCACAGGTGGCTATTGTTCAACCGTACCGTCCGTTGGAGCGGGCTATCGAAGACTAATCCCACTATGCCCGGATACTCTCGTCGTCATCGTTCGGATTGTCGGTTTACTTACGGAATACAAGCCTAAATCTACGCTAAACATGGACACACAGCTACCTCGAGTACGGTCTGTGGTCCCGATCCCCTACTACAACGTACCATTTCCTACATGTCTGGCTGAGTATATCCCTCGCATTTGACTGAACAGCTCACAATAGGGACGAGAACATAACCCTTCCCTTTTCTGAACCTGGCCACTCCCACGAATATCTCCTAATTGAACCGCAGGACTAGTTAGTTAGAACAGGTGACCTTGATCCAGCCAACGATCGACACTCAGGACGCTGCGAGTTTGGATCTTGACCATAAAATATTGCGTGATGGTGAGCTCAAGAGAGCGGTAGTGACTTGAACTATGCCTTCGTAGGTTTGGCCCTCGCAATTCGAAAATTGCTGCGCTCAGGATTACGGGGAAATTTATCGTCCGGATGCTTCTTGACTGCGAAAGACTCGAAGCAGTGGCCTCATTTCGTTTTGCTTCGTTTATTTTCTGACTCTTCTCACTGCCCATTGGGCAAGGATGGCACGGAGAACGTGAGGCTCAGAAGATACTTTGAATGGATAGATATGGTCATCCGTAAATCACTTACGGTCGAGCCATGGCTCCTTGTTCTAGCAGTTGCAAATGCTGAATCTGGAATTGGTCTTGGAGCAGGAAGTTATTCTCACACATCGTAATGATTGATCTTCGTGCGTTTCCAAAACCGGTGACTCACACCTCTCCACTTTGCGTCAAGGACATCCCACCCCATGAGAAGATGCTTGCTTCAACAGCCCCCTTCCTGATTCCGGCATTCTGAGTTTGAGGTAACGATAGGAGCTTCTTTGCTCGATTGGCTGGGTAAGCTGGGGGGCCAGTGACGATGGCGTTTGTGGGAACGACAATGGATATCATCTCGAACGTTTGCATCAAATCTAATCAATGTGGGGCAGCCTATGGCTTCTTCTGTCATGGAGCGGGAGCGGGAGTAGGGGAGACGGTGGGATCGCCGGCCCTCGCCATGATATATTGTTTGACGATCAGGTTCAATGATAGATTTCCATCCCACAATCCCCATCTCACTGCTATTTATGGACAAGTCAAAGCATATGTACCTGCCTCTTTCAACACTGAGAGTTGCTGCACAAACACGATGTTATGGCTGACCTGGCTTCACGGTTTTATATCGGGTAATTTTGGCGTCGACCGAGATTGAGCATACTTATGTACGGGGTTCGATACATCTCCGAGCCAATACGGTTGAAACTAGTTCTTTCAAGATACGGACGTGCTTCCTTTGGTGCGTGAGTACGCTTTGTGTTGAGGAGAGGCTATACTGCCCCACCAGTGCTTGTTCATCAAGAATCGAAACGATCATATCATATTGGCGTGTGGAGTCACTGCGAACTTTATCTCAGTATAAGGTTTTAAGAAGACTATGCGTTGTTCATCTTTCCTCGTCCTTAGATATGGATGAGAGTTTATAAGCGACTTGATCGACTGTGTATCGCCGTTCAGAACTTCTCGTCCTCCCTTCACAGTCTATATTGATCCATTAGCTACTCAGGTTTTTCGATGGCCTCCAACGACGACCTCGAACATCTTTTAGCGCCTTACCTTGGCTTCAGCCAAGTGATCACTAGACCGATTTCTACCCTCTCGGTGAGTTAATTCTCTCTATCCGGCCTGACGGTACCTCATCCTCATGTCGCACAGGTGCTTTTCTTTCTATACGGTCGGAAATCCTCCTCTTTTTGAGAAGATCACTTCTTAGATCGCAATTTACAGGCATTCACATTGTAGTGTCCGGAGTAGCCACTCGGGTCTTGCTACGTCGTGACAGTGGTGCATCCAAACTATATTTGTCATGCACTATAGCTGTAAAACACTGAACCATCCTGAAACACACCTTTGGAGTACCCGTGGGTCCTACCAGTCGGGGTGCCCAACAAAGTTTAGAATCACTTACGAAAACTGCATCTGTTACGAGTCGTGGAGTTTTCGTATATAATTCGAGAGTTACGAGTTCGACCTAGAGCGCATCTTTTATCAGTGACGGTAGAGATATAGAATGCCAATGATCCATATGCTTCGAGGTAGTTCCCGTGCATTCGGCTCTCTACTTCAACATCTCAGTGACTCAGTCTCTGCCAGATCGAGTTATGTTAAGTTAGGTCAATGTTACTATTTTTGCATACATGCCAGTAACCCAATGTATTCCACCGTCTGAAAGGTCCGAGAAACTGGAAGGACTGATTGCTTAACTTCTCTTCATTGCGAGTGAATGGTGACTCCACTTTGCAGTACACATCTATTTTATAGTATAGACTGCTCCCCTCCTCAACCCTTGTGTTGAGTTTTCAGTCCTGCGTCCTCGCCTCGACTAAGTTGAGACCTGATAGCCGCGAGACTCGAATGAGATTCTCGCCAAGGAATTCACTGATTGAGATATGTGAGGCGTAACTTCAGTGCGTAGCCACCATACACACTGGGATGGATGAATCATGTAGCGCAATCAGCGCTATTGCATTTGAGGCAGTATACTGCTCACGAACAGTGACGAGTGGAGTAGATACCGGTGTGTCCACCAGCGGGTTCTTCCCTGTGGTTTCTCGAGCGATCCTCATCAGGTTTAGCCGGGAACGCAGCTCGCCGTATTTAACGGCTTGTTAGTTGGCTTGGCATCAAATCTAATACATCTCGGTCATTTGGGCGCTCTCTCCACGGTCACGATTATCGATGGGCAATTCTCAAACAGCTTGTCGTGGTTCAAATAAAGACAAAACAAACGGGACAGACATACAAGCAATAAATGGGGAATTACGCAAAATCTACGAATAAGTATCTCAGGATTTGGGAAACCTGGCGGCAGAGCAAGATCACCGCCAACTTATGATAAACGGCAGTCCAGCGGGTAGTCACCCCCAAAGCCAAGGGCATTGTTGATGTTGAATAACAGCGTTCTCAAGATCCACCCTCTTGACAAGTTGATGCTATTTCAGAGTATCTCTACGAGAACCTCAATGGTCTTTAACCGTTACATGCCACCAACTAACCCAGAGTACAAAGTGAGCACACAAGGGACAAGGAGTCTGAGACGCAGAATGGCACCTTGCAGATTATTGAGCTTGCCTTTCGAACGGTGCTCGGATAAAAGGGTAACACAGATACCTTGGAAGTTGGCTGCTAAAGCATCATTAACACAGGCAGCGATGTAGTGTTGCCGGAAGGCAAGTCGGGGTCAAGTCCGAGGCGCCCATATTTGGATGACTTGATCCGACTCGCCTCAACGAGCCTTGAGGCCAAGAATTGCCTCGCGCCTTTTTAGGCAAGTGTACCCAAAGCACACTGAGATCTTTGCTCTGGAAAGTGAGGCCCACCGAAAGCTTCAATGATTCAAATCATATAAGAGAAAATAGAGAATACCTCATTTTATATTCCCGGAGCTATTCCCGCCACTAACATGAGGGGGAGAACAGTATATATTACTGACTATGGAGTTTCTGCTATACACAGTACATATAACGGCAGGTGCAATGGGGGAGGACGCGGTGACCTTCGGAGCTACTATACCCTGGAGATTCAATTTGAGCTCAGAGTTCAGAGGAAAACGCGGGGGATGAAACGAGATGAGGGAGGAAAGCTGGGGTGCATTGCACTTGGAAGTAAAGCGAGACAGACCTTATCAATGCCCTGTACCCGTGTCTCTTCGTTGATTCCTGTCAGTAGACAGTATAGACGCGTAGCTGACGTGTAGAGAGTCGTAAGCAAGACATGTTCTTGGAAGAATGTCAATAAAGCGGGCGACAAGGTATGCGCGGTCGACGACGATGTGGTCGAGAACAGATTTATGTAATTCAGAGCCCGACGCGCAGCGTCCTGTTTAGGATTTTCTTTGGGCTGTACTTCATTCTACTATATATGGTAACTGTCCGAGGCAAGGCGAGTCTGGCCTTCAAGGCGCCTCTGCCTTCCGGCAATACTACAGCGATGACAAGTAGGGTCACGACCCGAACTATCTGGTTTATTGATTTCAAATCAACTCCTATTTGGGTGATTTGAAGCGTTCAGGAAGCTTTATTGGCTACCACAATTAGTCGGACCTGCGGGCACTCCATCGGACTCCATGTTTCAGGTATGTACCATGTTTCAAAACTGAGTCCTTCGGTATTCTCGCTCACAAGTAACAATAAGCCTAACCCTTCGCAAAGTGGGCTTTTCCGAATCTCATATGCGCCTAACCAGGTATAGTTGCCAAGAAGACTAGCCAAGCGAAATGTTGCGCCACAACCGGCAAATCTTTATCGGCAGGCTAGAAACCGGCATACAGCCACTTGAAACGACTCCTCCAGAGTCTCAGAGCTCCCGCATAGCTATGAATGAGTCGCTGTGGAGTAATCGATACAGCGTTCCAGATGCTTTTGGAGCGAGAATAAGGTGTTGTGG